GGATCCGCCATGGATGCCTGTGCAACAAACTAAAGATATGGATGTTACACTTAATCAAGATCGTCACGTAGGTTACAAAGGTAAAGCGGAACAACTTTACATGACTTAAAAACAAATTTCAATTACAGCCTTTTCTAGTTACCGCCACCAAGAGTCGTAAAATGCAACAAACTGAAGCAATACGTAATGCCTTGCGTCAGCAGAGAGATAAGCAAAGAGCCGAGCGTCACAGTTTTTTAATTACTACTATACCGATTAGTCAACAAGCTTCCCATGAACCTGGTATGGAGCATGAAGATCATGAGGGTGAAGAAGAAATCGACGGTACGCGTATATCGTCACATTTACATCATGCCCATTCTTTGTTTCCTTCGGTATTGTGTTCTTCCGTGATGCAAATTGTTGGCTGTCTCGACGATGCTGCTATTGGCACCGATGGCAATGCAGTGTATGAAGTGGCCTATCAAGTCATATGGGTTTGTCTGGTAGAGGAATCGGCTTTATTTTTACGCTATGTGTTTGAGAGACTAACCAGAGATCGTCAAGATCAAATGTTTAAACTATTAAGACATCTTATCCGTTTTGTGCCCAGGTTACCGCAGCAAGCTGCATTTGCTTTATATAACTCTATTATTGGTTATATTATGTTCTATGTAAGATCTTCCAATGATCTGAAACAGGAAGTAAGTATAAAACCTATTTTGTATAGCTTGAAGTATTTTGAATAAACAATTGTGTTTGTTTAGCTTGTTGGTTCGGCTTTGTCGGTATTGTGGATGGTTGTTCATAGTGTGCATGGCATAATGTTTAAGGACTTGAAGCAAATTTTACGCAAAGAACAATGTGATGCCTCAATTTTATTGACTGCCAATGTCCCAGCAGCTAAGAAAATTGTTGTACATGGGCCAACTGATGACGATTGTAATATACCATCTCAATTTCCCGTTCAAGAAGATACTTTGTTCTGTCAGCTACTAAAGGAGGCCTTAGATTATTATCCAGTGGACGAAAAGAACATAAATAACTATTGTTTGGTGGACTACAAAAGCAGTAAGTAAAGAAATTTCAATTTCAATTCAGCGAAACATTATTTCTTTGCGATTTTTATAGACAAAATATTAAATCCCAACTGGTATATTCGCGACTTATATTTCTTCAAAAGATCACAATATCCCGAAGTACGTTTGGTATTACTGAAACCCGACGAATCCTTTTTGGCATTACAAAAACAGGAGTTGACAAAAAAATTTGTAGAGATTGGCAAAGTCCACTTAACTTGGGCTATTTTAAAAAATGTTGATATGGTAGTGCAAAGAGTAGTATTTTTGCATGAGGAACTTATGAAGTTACCTTCATTTCCTCGAAAAGCTCTTGAAGTTGATTTGGATTTACATCAAGGAGGAGAATATGGAAAAGTACTACTTGGATTGGATGTATTACATAAATTTATGTGGGTTCGTTTGATAGCTCGCATGTTTGAGGCAATGGCCGGCAATTTTGCTTACTCAGCTGATATACAACTGTTTTTAAATGTTTTGTCGGGGGCAGCGTTCCTACACGCAGAAGATTCATGCATCATGCGTTATGTAATGGCAACGTATATTAACGCCGCCTTTAATTTTAAAAATATATTCTCCACTAACGGTTACTTCATGATTATGCCCACATTGTTGCAAATATATTCGTTGCATCAAACGAACAAGTTGATTACTACAACAATAGAATATGCGGTTAAACAATTTTATTTGCTGAACCGCAAGCCTTTTATTTTACAAATGTTTGGTTCCGTATCGGCCATATTGGATACAGATGAAGATGGTACTTATGGTGAAGCTCATAAGGTATTTATTTTTGTTTAAGTGAGAAACTAAACTATGATTTAAACGTGTATTTTTCAGGTACAATCCAGTTGCTTATTTAATCTCTTATTAAGTTTAGAGGATCCATCTCCGGATCCTTTGAATATTGCCGAATTGGTTAAAGAACCTAAACCTTTGAAAGCTATCGATTTTTGTTATCACGATGAAGATGGCGATGTTACAGTATTGGATTGTATAACTCTTTGTGTAATGGTGGTATCCTATTCTGCAGAAAGTACTCGGGGTTATCAAATGTTGGTTAGTATTTACTAATATTAACGTCTTTAAACATACTTATTGCGTACTGAAATTCTGGTATTTCAGATTATCTTAGAGGCGATATTACCTTGTTATCTTCAACAAATACAATCTCCCAGCTATATTCCTCTACAAGGGAAATCGGAACGTGATATTATCTTGCAATTAGCAGTGGCAATACGTACTATGGTACATAATTGCGAGGGTTTAGCCAAGAGCTACAATGGTCCCTATCGTAATAGCCCTGAGCATAAAGGTTCCTCACAACGAAACTGTAGCCGGGGACCTCCTTGTTCACCGGGACTTGATTTCGAAGAGGAATCTCATTCAAAATATATAACTGATCCACGCACCAAAAATGTTATGGATTCAGGAGAAGATTCAGAAATGATACGTACAGAGTATCGTAGACCCAGAGATGTTTTACTCTCGGTGGTGGGAGATTTTTTAAGTAAATCAACTACACGTTTACAGGAACTCTCCAAGAAATTGCCGAAAGATGAAAGCAAAGCTACTGAAGTTCTAGATGCTAAATGTCATATTAGACTGGCCGATATAGCACATTCTCTACTCAAAGTTTCCCCTTATGATCCAGAATCCATGGCATGTCGAGGTCTACAAAGGTATATGCAGGCAGTTTTACCCCGGGCCGAATGGTCCAATGATACTTTACGTAATGCCTTAGTTACCATTCTAAGAAGAATCGACAAAGTTTTTCTTAAAATATCCAAGAAGCCTTCTATACGTCGCAATACCGATTGGGAAGCTGCCGCTGGGTTATTGAAAGGTATTCATGAAACCATTGTCAGACATCCCTATGTTTTGCATTGGCAGCAAATGAAGACCTTGATTGGTACTGTGCAAAATCTTATTGTTAATGAACCAGGTTCGTCAGCCCCTGAAGGTGTATCAAGTGCCGGTGCAGCTCTTATGTCTCAGAATCCGCCGGCCTTCTTCTGCTCCACAGTAGTGCGATTGGTAGCATTACAAGTTGTCAGTCCAGTAGATTGTTTTTCTTTAGTTCAAATTTGTGGCGGTAGTGCAGAGTTTGCCACCCAGGAGAAGGCCGAAGGATATCTAATGCATTTGATAATGCCCTTGTGCTTGAAAGTGTGTTCGGGACGTGGTGTTTCCGATGTGGGAGAGTTAAAAATGACCGACGTAAGTTATTTACTTACTGCTGTACTTAACGCAATGAGTCCACCAGCCGGCAGAACGGGACAAGCTGTATCCCAAATAAATCGAGTTGGTGGTGACCTAAGAACTGGTTCATTAACTTTTACCGGTAGTAGGGATGCTAAAAGACCTGCGAGAATTGCTGGTTCTTTGTATCAAGCGGCATTCCTTGCTTTAAGAATTGTTTGTATATGTTTTGAGAATCGTTTATCTACCGAATGGCCAAGGATTGTAAGAGTTATGAGAGATTTAGGCCGACGTAATGAAGCAGCACCCGATTTATGGAGTTTTCTAGAGTTTGTGGTAACACACCGAACACCATTGTATATTGTGTTGATGCCATTTATTTTACACAAGGTAAGAACAATTAAAGAAATTTTCCTACTACAAGCTAAATATTCTCAATATTTGAAGATTTCGCAACCCCCAATTGGTGACCATGAAAGACACATGCAATTTATTATTAGGGAACGATTAAGAGGTACACCACCACAAGGTGGCATTAAGTCTAAAGGAGCATTATTGCTAGAATTAGCCAGGGAACTTAAGGACTTACGAGATGAACTTGAAGAAAAACGTTATGGTAAGATTTATACGTTTATAAAACTGAACACATAACAAATTTTATTTTTTAGATCGTGAAAGTTCTGACATGAAAAAGAGTGATACACCAGCTGCAACAAGTGGAACAGATGGTCATAACAAATCCCAACAAAGACCTTCATTAATTTCAATATTTACAGGAACCACCACGGGTCAAGCAACACACTCACATATTTCAGCGGTGCCTATTGATTCGAGAAGTGGTTCCGGTGGCATGTGTACACCTAGTGACACTCTCTCCCAACAAACTCTACACCCACCTAGAGAATCTTTATCCAGCAGCTCCACAGGCCGTGATCATCATACAACAAGCGAAAGTCAGAGTGGCGAACAAGCTGCTGGATCAGCACCTACATTAATGGGGGCGTCAGGATCTGGTGGTGTGGTATCTAGTCAAGGAACAAGTTCAGCTACAATAGCTACTGCTTTACCCTCAGGGATTGCATCACAACTTTCACATTCACAAAGTTTACAGCAGGCACCATTTAAGGCTCAACCCCCCAAATTACGCTTTGTGTCCTCAGTAGAATTTAGGCACTCTTCTGGAGAGACTTCAACCACACCCCTCTCGCCGGAAAGTCCTGCTGAAGATAGTTCTGGTGATCATACAAGATCACGTTTGCAAAGATCAAAGGCAGCCAGCAGAAAAACATTCCGTTTAAGGCGAAATCTAAGATCCATGGAACCACCCAGTATAGTAAGTTTCCAATAAAATTTTAATTTTAATAAGTTCATGTGAAATAACTACCATTATAGGTAACTGCTTTGCCACAGGAAGAACATCCTAAGCCCATAGGTGAAATATCCTGGGATTCAGTATCACAAACCTCATCGACATCGGGATACCGTGATACCAACAGCTTGCAGACAGGACTACTATCGCCTGACGGCTCTCTTGGAGGAATGACACTGGGTCGCTCACCATCACAACATTCCTTATTAATGGTTTATGAGGGACAAGATGAAGACACACTTATATAACAATCACAGTTTAACTCGGAAAACTAGTGAAACTAAGTAGCAACGAGTTTGCAATGATTATTGAGAACGAGAAGAGATGGCAATGATAGCGTTTTTGTAGACTGAATTAAAAGATGTTTGTACTTATGTACTTATGGATAGCTTAACCACAAATATTTTAGAAATATATATAAATAAAATAATCGAATTAAAATCAGAGAAATAACACGTCAAATATTACTACTATACATTCCAACATAAAGAAGTTATTATACTTTATATTGAAGTTATTAAAAACTCGAAATATCAAAATATTTTTTACGATGCTAACTGATTTCCATAGCATAGGATAATTAGTCTCCAAAATCGATTTTTAAGTAAAAAGAAGTGTCAAATTAAACCTATTTATATTTTGTAGATTTTATATAGTTTATATAAATGTTGAATGTTATTTTTATGCACTAGAATATTATTATTGTGTAAGTTATACTAAATAAAAAGTGGATATTCAAAATAAAAAAAAATTTAAAAACAAACTTACATTATATTTGTTGTTGATAATGATGATGAGTATGAGTATGATGAAACATGTATAGGTGAAATTTACGAACTGTTTATTTTATTAGCTACAGCTTTTAAGCGATTTTCTTTTATCGTTTTACGCCATTCAAGCCATTTTTGCATTTCTGGATTATCAGTATTACCCCGCTCCTCAAGCTGCATATAGTAGGCTTCTCGCAAGATTTTAAATGCCTGTATACTGTAATATGGTTGTTGAGTAACTGGATCAAAGTAACGAGCGGGTAATCTGTAAAAAAATAAATATTAATTGAATACACAGTATCCACGTAAATTTAGTTTAAAAATTAACTTACTTCGTAATTGGACATAGGTAGCCTGAGTTTCGTTGTAGTCTTTTAGTTTTGAATATATTGTGAAAGACTTTTTCATCCAAGTCATTTTCTAATGAAATAAATGTTCTTTCACATTTTGATCTAGGATCATTGGGATCATGCGGGGCGCTATAACCACGAGTTTGTTTACGCACTACTGGCATAGTCATAGAATGATATCGTATCATTGGACCACTAAATATACGCTTTGTGGGACGGGTTTTCTTTTTCTCTAGTTCCATCTTTTGAAATTTTTCTGAAATAAATAGACAAACGTACATATATATAGTAGTTAATGAAGTTATAAAAGAAAACTTTAAAATATAAAAGCAAAAAAAATAAAAATGCAAATATAATTATAAGTCAATTAGGTTCAAATGAGGCCCAACCTTTACGACAGCTGACACTGTCATTTATGTATGTTTATATAAAACTTAGTTCTACCTATTTTGGAAGAAAGCTCAAATCGAAAGGTCCGGTTTTATGGGGCTATGTGAAAAAATTGACCGAGTTCAACCACTTTATATAGGCCCCTTTTTGGGACGAAAAACGCACATGTTTCAAATTTCATCAAAGTATCTTCAAAAATGAATGGTCTTGTAATCATGGTAGCTATTCCAATGGCAACGTTAGATGATTTGATTACTTCATGCCGATAGTCTTCCGAACCAAATTGATTACAAGATGTGCTAAAAGTTCTGATTTATTTCAAATATCTTTTAAGCGTTTAATTTAAATATCCAAACACGTAAAATGTTTGGTAATTATTCATCACAACTAACACAACTAATTTTTCTTAAAATTACAACTTAGAAACTTACCTAATGATTTAATATTCTCTTCCTCGGTTATTTTAGCTTCCTCTAAAAGTTCCTCCTGCGTTGGCATATATTCTTCCAATTTCTTTACTTTTTTCTTCTTTTTTCGAGCATCGTCCATTTCTTTCAGACGAATTTTTGTTGCCTGTGTTTTGATGGCCGTCGAGGCCCTTATAGATTTACGCGCTGAATCGAGCACAGTAAATTTTGGCCGTATTTTTCTCTTAAGTGCTCTAGTAGTTTTCTTTTTAGCTGGACTTGTTGCAGTTTTCTCATCTTTTTTCAGCGGTTTGGGTTCTTTATATGCCTTAGTATTCACGCCAGTACGTTTACGTTTTTTGCCTTCTTCATCATCATGATCTGAAATGGGTTCATCATTTTCATCGATACTGAAATCGGAGTCCACAACATCTTCTTCCTCGTCTTTTTGTCTTTATAAAAATTAGAATACTTTTAATTGAAATATATTTACTTCATTTTAAATATTTTCTTACTCATATTCTTTATCCTCTTCTTCTTCTTGGAACCCACCATAGGAGGTTTTATAGAAATCGTCCTCTTCCTCATTGTCCAACAATTTTGCAATTCTGTTACCAGCATTTGAACGCCGTGCTCGTTGGGCTGCCATTATTTAAAGAAGTTGAAGAACAAGCATGAAATTATTTGGTGAAAAATATATTGAAATGTATTAAATTTTTAATATTTTTATGAAATCACAAAAACAAACACAATTTATGTTATATTTCCCAAAATTTTACAAATGAACTAAATGTCAGAAATTACTATGCTACCAGATCAGTAAAAAAAGCTCACAGTGGTAGCTAAGTAGTAACAAACTCTGGCTACTCTTTTTAATATTATAGAGATACTGCCTTACCTTTAAATTGTTTGACATTTACATTTGACACCGCAATTTATACAGGTGTAGGCGAGAGTACAAATGTAATTGTCAAACTCCATATACAAAAAATTGTCTGATAGTCTATCTTTAATATTAATACACATTCGCGTTGTCATTATTTCTATGTACCCAAACAATAGAAAAAAATAATAGATTAGGCATGTGAAATTTTTGTTAGCACAATTTGGCAAAGAATTTGATATAAATTAACATAAAAAAGTAGTGCAGTTACTTAAGAAATTACTTTTTAATATATTTGTTATCTATAAATACGAAAAACAAGTCATTACTGTACAATTATTTCATAAAAATGGCATTTAAAAGATAAAATTAATAAAAAGAAGTGGAAATGATTTTGGGGAAGAGACTTTTATTAAAACAAAATAAATTTACAACATATTGATGAAATAAAAAAACAATTCCTAGAACAAATTTATAAATTGGTTAATTCACAAGTTGGTGATAAGGCTTTAAAACCAGTCATTATTTTAGCTGTTGAACTGAATTTTCTTTTAAACATTTGCAATATTAAACGAAATGGCAATGAGATCATACCAGGTAAAAAACTATTTTGTTTATTTAAAACTCAACTTTTTATCAATTGATTAACATTAAATAAAAACATTTTTAAGAATACTGCCCAGCGTTTACTAAGATGTTTCTGTGGCTGTCGCGAAATGACCGTTGAGGAAGTTCAACGTATTTATCAGTTTAGCGTTCAGGAAACTCTTATCAATCGCCAGGCCCTAGCTTTATTAAAAAGTTTTCTGCAGCAAGCTCGCAGTGGTGATAAATCAACAACAGAACAATATGTAGAAGTCTATGAACTGTGCGGACAATATATGACAGCTAATGCAGCTATTTTAACACTGGATGAATTAGATGAACTAGTGGATTTAGGTTTACCGTACCACTTGGAGAAGGAACTACACAACCAAATCCAAACGGGGGATAGTGATAACATCACCCGTTGTTTGCTACGCATACAAGGTGATATGCGCAATAGCATTGAATTAAGTGACGAATATAAGGAATATAAAAATGCAATTCTAAAGAAACTTAATCAATAAGGATCAATAGGTATCGAAGGCTACGAGTAATATACTCAGGAACTGAAACCAAAAGTGCTTTCTAATGTTTGTAAGATGAAAAAACTGCCCTGTTTTAACTTATCAACAATCAGTTCTTTTGTTACTATATTTTCAAAGTATTTTTTTTAATAAGAGATAATACTATTATGATAATAGTAAAAATATCATTTATATACCAGTTGGAATACTTAACTTATTTCGAAAAGCTTTAATTAATAATTTTTTACACTCCTTTGCGTCCCGTGTATTATATACCTAAAAATTATTTTTAAATAGTTTATCCCAGAACTCGTCAGATTAGTAGTTTTAGTCGGAACTGTAGCTTTCAATACAGAAACGATTTTAAATCTGCAAATCATACAAATACTGGAATAGAGCTATTATTTGCTAGTAATTAATATATTTTTTAAATAATCTGACTTTGTTTATCAAATAATAGATAACTTCTAGCCATTTTTTTTAGCTTAACAATTGTATTTCGAAAATGAAAAACTAGATTGAAGAAATACACAAAATAATTTCTTAAATACAATTTTCTAATTTTTTTTTTTACCTTGATACTTGTACATTCATGTAGATGTATTAAATTATTTGCACATTAATTAGATAATATATGGTATTTAAAAAATCTGTTATAGCTTCTTAAATTTTATAATTTTGTTTAAAAAGCGCTATAAATTTAAATACTTAAAATTAAAAAATTACTTGAAAGTTTTTTACAGAAATTATAAAAACAACGATTATTTTAATTGAGATATCCTTCGGGAAAGGACATTACGTTGTTGCAGCTATATTTTATATGTACATATGTATGTAGTTGTATTTTTTGCTTTTTGAATGTACCTTAATTTTATATCTTTTTATTTAATAAATTATAAAAAATATATATAAGGTACTCGTTTTATTTAAACACATGTGGGTTGGAGAAGTATGTATTCCTTAACTAAACAATTTCAGACAAAATAAAACTTTATAAAATATTGAATGACGAACTCATACTCGAAAAAGTATAATATCATATATAATTAACAAAATCAAAGTTCGAAATAAAAATCCAAAATATGTAAGCATTAAAATATTTATATTTTATAATTGTCCAAATGAATTTCAGAAATTTCTAAATATTTCGGAATATTCCAATTTCGGAAGATTTTAAAGTATAAATATTTAAGCAATTTTTGAATTTGCGTAATTTTTTGAAGGGAACCCTATATAGGAACTATAGTCAAATGTATATAAACTTTACGGTATTATCATTTCCGATAGATCACCCACAATAAATAATAAAAATATGTTTACCAATTTTTAAAGAATTATAGAACAATACATTAACTTTAAGTACTACTCAATGTTTTTAACACATTTTGTTAGTACTACATAAGTTTTTATTAATTAAATATGTATAGACATTGATTCTTACAATAAAAAGCAATTAATTGGATATTTTGCTGTAATGACTTCTTTCAGCATAAAAACAACAAATGTCAAATTATTTTTTTCGCAAAAAAAGTAAAATACGCTCAAACACAAATTAAAACGTCATAATAAAACTAAGAACTATTTTATAAACTACGAAAATATGTTATTATAAAAAGCGATATTCTGTTTCTTAATTAGATGTCTAAAAGATTATTTATGTTTTCTTCCACGAATAAAACATTTCCATCGGTTTATTAACTTTCCAGAATTTCTCATTAACTTGATGTAATGTTTGATTGCCGTTTAAGATAACCAATTGAGAGGGTTGAGGGGCAACATAGATGCAAAAGTTAAGCATACGGTATGCCTCAGGTAGCTCAGAACCCAAATCAAGGGTTAAACGTAAAGCCAAATACTTGCTTAAGTGGTCAACTAAAATGAAAAATTTAATATTTTAGTTATTTTAATTAAAGTTCCTTAAGATTTCTTTCTCATACCTGTGGCATTGGCCGTCGTCTTTATATAACGTATACAATTTTCTTTCAAAGCCTTCATTAACTGATTGTCACCAGCCATTTCTGTGGGATGAGGCTTGAAAACCAATTCAATTTCATCATTAATACCCAATTCACCATTACCTTCACCTTCAGTGTCTATATTTGAGTCGCCCTCAGTGCGACAGTCCATCTGAGAATCAGATTCCGATTCTTCTGACCGTTCAGATGTTAAAACGGACATGGCTCGTTTAGGTTTTGAGCTACTCGAATTGGAAGGTACTGGGGAGGGAGTGGAACGTACAGAGGGTGGATTAGAGCCGCCATCATCCATGCGGGTGGAAGAAGTACTTGCTGCAATGCTACCAGTTACAGACGAAGCAGCGGCAGCAATTGTAGTGTTGGAATGTGTAGTAGCAGTGGTAGTTGGAGCATTTATAGCAACAGTAACCGCTGGTGGAGCTGTTGTGGTACTTTCCCTTGTATTTGTATCACTTTCATTACCATTAGTGTTACTCTCATTTGATACATTATGTGCATTGTTAGAATTATGATTAGCACCCGCTGCTCGACCACCGCCACCAGCAGCACCACCTCCGCCACCACTTCCCTTGGTTCTAAAGCGTTGAGGCCTGTTTTGGCTTTGCAATTTAATGCCTTCATTTATAGAATTTACTAAAGCTTGCTGTGACTGCGTTTGATTAAATTTCGCCATTACTTTTTCCTGAATGGCTTCATACTCTTCACGACTGGGATAAATTTTTGAAATTAATAAATCGAAATTTGGATCTGGCCTCAAAGATCTTTTCGACACCAATTTTTTTCGACAAGTCGGACACTCTTTGTTGCCCGAACGTAATGCAGTAATAATACAATCTTGGCAAAATCGATGCAGACACTCCTTAGTAGTCATTGTTTTTTTCAGCATATCCAAACATATGGGACACATTAGTTCACTGTGTAAACTTCTGGGTGAAACTGCAATTTCTGTATTGTCTGTAATAATTTCTTGCGGTTTGCGTTGCAGTTCGTACAAAGACAAATCCCATGTTTTATTCTGTGCTGGTTCCAAAGAAGCCATTTTATTTAGGTTCTTCACTTTTTTATAAACAAATTACTTCAAATTACAAAACAAAAATTTTCCTTCACAAATTGTTCATCTGTCGAAAAAGTACACAGAGATACAAACCGATGCAAAAAAACGACGGTGGCGGTTCCACCATTTTTAGACGACGCCGTTGGTTTGTTATAAAATATACCGATGGCGGCTAAAATGTCTGGTAATCTATAAAAATTTGTTTTTCAGAAAATTTTCTATATATGCCTTTTTTATATAAAAATCTTTATATTGGTATCAGTATGTATTTTCTAGAGAAAATTATTACAGTTGTCTCCAATAGTTATTTCAAATTTTAATACAGGAACGCAATATGATCTGTCAACTCGTTATAATTAACCTATAGAAAGTGGCAACTAAGTTAAAATAAAAAAAACTAGTTTTTGAGTCTACGGCGGCGCGAAATGCAAAATTTAGCCGGCGACCAACCAACATCACTTTGAGCCGAGTCGGCTTGTATTTCTGAAAGTACCATACAGAAATATGACCCGAAGTTGGCTGCAGTATTTTTAACAGAACAGAGTTGCATTTTTAAGCAGACAATAAAAATGGTTTGGAATGTAAATAACAAAGCTAAAACAGAGTTTCATTATCGGCAATGCAATATCTATTAATGTAGTACAACCAATAACCATTTTTTAAATTGAAATCCCCTAGCTTTCTCCACTTTTTTTCATGTAAAATTTATATGTCCGTCCGGCACAAATATTTTCCATTGATAGGCACTAATTGGTATTGCAAATGTTCGTGTTCTCCTAGCCCTAGCCATACATGTGTCATCCAGAACACAGTAAAAACAGTCATATGTATGTAGTATATGAGGCTTAAGACGATATTTTTGAAATTGTGATATCACATCTTTTATCAAAGGTTTTGGCGTAATTATTTGGTTAAGTCCTTCTGAATATCTGCAGTCAAAACACTGATTTGGGGCGACATTTTTTATATTGCAAAAACTGTTGAATATATTTCAAATCTGACTTTAGTATACAATTCTTGATTTGACAGAAAATGGATGTACTAATAATGTATAAGAACAAGAAAAAAATTCATTTATTGCATCAATGTTTTCCAACCTTAAAAAATAATATTAAAAAGTTGTATTTATTTTAATCCGTTTTTGTGGGTTAGTAATTTCTATCTAACAAAGCTTTTTTTCGTCATCACCTCCGAGTTTTATTTTTCATTAATGTACATTTTCATTAATGTACTTACATACATATTGCTTTAGGACCTTTATTCACAACAGAAAATCAATATTTTATTCGACTTTCTGAAATGAAAAAAGTCCATTTATTTCTGAATTTATAAAAGATAGAACCAAAACAACGAAATCACTTCAATCAATTTTGAGTAAAAACATAAAAGTATATTTCCTGGCTAAATTAAAGGTCCTAGGGCCAAAAGATAGAAAATCTGTGATCACTTTTATTTCCCACCAAAAATCTATTTTTTGGTGAAAACATAAAAGTCCATTTATCTTGAAATTTATAAGAGATAGGACCAAAACAACGATAATCTGTGATCACTTTTATTTCCCACCAAAAATCCTTTTTTTTAGCGAAAACATAAAAATCTTGAAAACTATAAGAGATAGGGCCAAAACAACGATAATCTGTGATCACTTTTATTACCCACCAAAAATCCTATCACTTTTATTTCCCACCAGCAGCCCATACTTTGAGTGAAAACATAAAAGTCCATTTATCTGGAAAACTATTAGAAATAGGGCCAAAACAATCTATGATCACTTTTATTTCCCATCAAAACTCCATTTTGTAGCGAAGACATAAAAGTCCATTTATCTTGCAAACTATAAGAAATAGGGCCAAAACAACGATAATCTCTGATCACTTTTATTTCCCACCAAAAATCCATTTTTTAGTGAAAACATATAAGTCCATTTATCTTGAAAACTATAAGAGATAGGGCCAAAACAACGATAATCTCTGATCACTTTTATTTCCCACCAAAAATCCATTTTTTAGTGAAAACATAAAAGTCCATTTATCTTGAAAACTATAAG